TATTAAAACAGTTGGAAATCCCTCTTTCGTAAAACAGTTACAAAAGGAGATTAAAATATAATTTTCATAAAAACTAATTAATTGATTTGGAATCGTATAATTGTTCAATAAATAAAATTCGAAAAAAAAAGAATAAAGAATCAAAAAATAAAGCTCTTGAGAAAATAAGTTAAAAGATATTTATCGATTTAATGACAGTTTTGTCGTCAAAATGTACAATAACGATCACCATCTCCAATTTGCTGAATATAGTTTTTCGACGGATCTTTTATTGACACCTATAAATACTATCGGTTGACTATATACTATCCATTGCTCGTTAGCATAACTTCTCGGACCGGTGTGTGACCTTACGAGGATAAAAGACGGATTTTACGCAGACGACCGAGCGTATGTCCCATACGGGACATTAGTATTCCAGCAGTTTTACATGCCTGTTGTACGGTGCTAGTACTGGCGAGGATACGTGCACGCGTGAGCGGCGTGCCAGTGCGTGGTGCTGTGCGTGCATCGTTAACGCGATGCCGTGACTCGTCGCGTGTGTGATTCGGCCCCCAAAGGTCGGCGATGTGGTACGAAAGGTAAAACGTTCCATGTAACAGCGAGCACCTCGCGAATTTTCACGAAACTTTAAACGCGCATTTTAAACTAAAATAGTGACAAAACGATGGTAAAGGTCTGATTTCCCCAAATTAATTGGTTTAACTTACTGCTTATTTTTTCTCTATTCTTAGAATTAAATAGAAAACGACGAAGAGTAAATTGAAAAACCGAGATCAAAACTAATCTTACTTTGATGGAATTGGACTGATAGCGAATTTGATTGGACGTAATATGTGCACTAATGCATATATTAAAGCCGTTGTACACTGATTCAATTATCTGTGTAAAAATAAAATGCAAGTATTTCGAATTATAAAGTACAGATTTTACCTAACAGCATAATAAGATGTATTAAGGATTTCATTAGTTTAATCTGTTTTTATATTTATTATATTTTTACGTAAATTTTTGTATGACAGCTTTAATATACGCCAGTGCGTTTTAAGTGCGTCGAATAGAAATTCATTATAAAACGACTGTTCTGTAACAAATATGTAGAAATAACATAAATAAAACGAGACGCGGTACATTTTATTCTTAACTCGATAATTCATTAATAAAGATAAAACCAAATCTTTTTACCCATCATGCAATTCTATTTAAAACAGGCGAAAATCTCGAGCAGAATCGAAAAATTCGCAGTATTTAATTTTATTGCAAAAATTTTTGAAAACGTTGGCGGAACTAGTTTCAACTTTATTGATAAAGTCATCTTCAGCTGCTAATTAATTACATATCGTTATTAATCAAAGCAGTGTCCGCTATTCTAAAATCACAATATACCATTATATGACATTATTA